ATAAAATTAGGTTTCGGTATTTTAAATAAAAATGTACCAAATATACAACAGCGTAACAAATTAACATAAATAATTTTATTAAAGATTTATCATAATTAATCATTGATTCAGATAAAAATTCATAATAAGAATCGAGAATCAATTTTATACAAACTAAGATGTTCACCAAGCAAGCACACACAAAGAAAAACATTTGCCATCCGAATATTGTGGTAAAATCTTCAGCGTATTTTTCATTTAATCTTATCGCTTGTTCCATTTTTAATATTTCCTTTGAAAACTCATTTCCTATATGCGTGGTGCATTTTTCCTTTAATGATAACTCAATGTTTTCGTATTTTTTATTGATACTTTTTAATATATATGTTACGTGGACAAATAGGAAAAGTTGATAGAAATCTAAAATTATATAAATACTATGCATAGGTGCATAAAAATAGATGATATTAAATACGAAAGAAATAATAATAAGAAATAAATAAATTCCAAATGGAATAAAAATGTTAAACATTTGTGATTTATTAAATTCAAATATTGCACTTTCTCTGCAAATATTTATAAAGTCAATACATTTGATTTTATATTTATTCATGTTAAAAGTGTACAGCACAATTAATAAACATTCAAAAGTTAATCCAAAATTGTCCAAAATAATTAAAGTTTTATTTTTGTCTTTCTTGAAAGTCGATATTATTTTAATACCATTACCAATAAAAAGTACTATAATACCAATGATGATTAATGCGGAATACATATTTGATTTAATTCTATTTTTAAGTGGTATACATCCCAATATTTTGCCAATATTTAAAAACATTGACTGGATAAAATACCGTTTGTTGTTATGAAACATTTTCTTACTACTAAATTTATATTTTAGTAAATATTAATTTAACTAAATGAATTTTAATCAGTAGAGACCGGACTTTTATACAATTAAAAAATGCACATAAACGTGATATTAAAAAATAGTAGATTATGTAGAGTATGGAGTAGAAGTGACTCTTTTTGCTTCTACTCCAAATAACATTGGTGTCAGCACCAAAAATATATTTTTGTCAGCACCAAAACAGACGTGCACTTGAACGCTCTTAAGTATACCTAATCATCAAGGACCGGATTTTAGGCAAAATGCCTTTTCGTTTCTATTTCAGGCATTTGTTTGGGACCTTGATATTAATCCTAAACTTAAAAAAATAAAGCGTTTGACACCCCTTTGTTTTTGCCTAAAAGCCTAAAATGGCGAAATTTTGATTTAGGGTCCTAAAAGGAAAAATATATTTATATAATTAGGCCCTGCTTTCTTGCTCTTATTTCGCCTAGACGGCCTTGGCGAGTACGAGGACCACAAATTACAAAACTAGTTTTCTGTAAACTTTTTTTTGTATTTACTTTGTTTTTATAGGTTTTATTGTAATTTCCATATATGTATTACGTTGTGTTAACCTGTTCTGTTTGTTTATTATTGTTTTTGTGTTGCGTTAATTTGTTTTGTTTGTGTTTTAGTTTGTGTCGTGCCATTTGCATTTATTAAACCCAACTCTTAAACTACAGTCCATGGGTGTTTTAAATTAAGTCCCTGTCCACAAAATGTTTAGAAATAGAAGCGGTCTTAACGTTAATATTGTCTATTCTTTTTATGGCATTTAACCACTGTTTGCAAAAGTATTTAAAGGGTTTTTCTTGGACTGGTTGTCCAAATTGCATACAAATATGCCACACCGCATTTTAATAAATGCAAATGCCACGACACAAACTAAAACACAACCAAAACAAGTTTCAACGCAACACAAAAACAATAATAAACAAACAGAACAGGTTAACAAAACGCAATAACAATAATTTGAACACTGAAAAGTAATTCGAACCTCACTAAACGCAAAAACAACAAGTTAAAAAAATACAGCAAGTTAACATCCAACAGTATCGCAAAAACAAGAATTTTAGCAGCAGATAATTAAAGATTTAAAAATACTCAACAAGTGACGTATTTAAGCCCCGCCCAACATGCGCACATACACTTAAGGTGTATGTAGCAATTGTACCTTTTGATAACAACAAACGGTCATGCGCGGTACAAACGGTCATCAATTATATTTGGACACGTCCTCAAGATCCCATTGTAGTACTTACTCCCTTTCTCACTGATACTGTTTGTTCAAAAAAATTGTTATTTGTGCCTTTTGGACCCACCCTAGGCCCCCCCGGGTCAGATGGCTAGTTACGCCAATGTTGAGTCCTATTTTTGGCACTTTGGGCCTAAAATAGCCTAAAATGTAGATTTTTATTGCCTATTTAAGTCTCCTAATTTCCAATTTTTAACGTCCTAAAACCCGGTCTTTGCTAATCATATTAAAAGTCTTGATACCAAGACAATAGCAGCAAAACAATGTAAAATAACATAAACAAGACGTTTCTATTTTAAAATGGCAGATTGGTGAAAACAATCCAATAATCAAGTGAGAACTTTACATGTTTTTAAAACTAAACGATACAAAAATAAACATCTGACGGCAATTAAGAAATAACCTAAACACAGAAAAGCCAATACACCGTATTATACTAATACTAATGACAAATTAAGGATCACGCACAGTGGGGTAAAATAATTTTTGAATCATTTTACTATATTTTCAGCTAGTAAAATAACGACTGGCTAAAAATGACTTAATTTTCCTTGTAGTCAGCAATAATATGAACAACCTGACGTGGACGTCAATACTTCGCACAGTGGGGCAATAATTTGTGAATAGCTGTTTTTACTTTTTTTTTATTTTTCAGCCCGGTTAAACAACGACTGGCTGATTCTTCTATAAAGTCAGTACTGACAACGAAGGACAAGATGCAGACTACGACTAGGAACGATAGGCCCATACTGCGAACTAACAACTCCCCAACTGCAAACAGTTATTCCAAATCCCGGTCTAAGGGGATGTTGAGTCATACGCAGATTTTAATAGGCCTAATTGTCCCCTAAACACCAAAATGTCTTTCGCCACGTCCCGACCTCCTTTATGATTCAACTGGGCGTAAAGCAACGGCCCGGCGAAACCGGGAGGAGCTATTACGAACTATTGGAATACTAATACAACATAAATAATGTATTTTTGATGGTTTTGATGCTTTTGTTGGTTTCAATTATTATCCGATAAAATATTTTTGTAAAAGGAAAAAAAACGTTGGTGCCATTGCTCTGATCATAGTATCGCACCATAGCTCCACATGTACAAAACACACTTTACACTCAACATTTTTAACGGACCATCAAAATTGACGATAGGCATTTTGCCTAAAATCCGGACTCTAGTAATAAGTTTAATGAATAAGTAAAAACATTTCCCTTTGAAAAACTAATTATTTTAATATTACAAACATGATGCGTAGTGGACTGTATAAATTAATGTTTTTTATTTATTTATTTGTTCTTTGTTCTTAAATAAATTAAAAATTTCTTCGTAGTAATCAATTAACATGTGTTAATGCTGTTTGTTTCTGCCAATATTAAATTTATATAATACAGAAGAAAAATCATAATTTATAAATAAAACAAAAATAAATAACTAAATTGATTTTTTTGGGGATTAACCCCGTGAGAATACCACGTTGCTTTGAGAAAACTGATAATAACATTAAAAATTTAAATTGAATCAAACTATAAAATGAACTTGACTCGATTTGGAAGAAATCACTGAATTCTAGGGGGAAATCGAGTTTGAAAAAAAACGGGATCTTTTTGCAATTGAAAAAGAAACCAACCTAGGATACTCAATAAAGCCATCCATATTTAGGTTCTTAATCAGTTTGGTCCAGAGGAAGGTGTTGAAACATCACAAATTCCACCCATTTAAAATGCATAATACATAAGAACATGGCGATGATGATGCAGACAGGCGTTTAGAATTTTGTGAAACCATGACCAATAAAATAACAAACCAGATCCAAATAACATTGCTTCAGCGATGAATGTACTTTTTATTTAAATGGAAATGTTAAACAAAATTGTCGTTAATTGAGCAATGAAAATCCTCATCTCATCAGAAAAGATCATACCCAGTATCCTGAAAAACGTATTGTCTGAAATGTTAGATGGAACAATACAGCCACTAAAAATAAATTAACTAGAAAATTGAAGAGAAGAGGATGATGAAAATTTACATTTTCAACAAGATGGGGCACCAACTCATTATCTAGTAGCTATTAGGGCTTGGCTGGATCAGAATGATCCAAAACAGTGGATTGGTAGAAGAGGACCAATATAATGGCCTCCCAGATCTCCAAATCTGACCCCATTAGACTTTTTCTTATGGGGTCACTTAAAATTTATGGCTACAAAACTCAGCCTTAATCTATTGAAGATCTGCGACAAAGAATAGTTCAAAAAGCCACAAGCTATTCCACAACATTTTAAAATGTTCGAAGGGAAATTTAGAATAGACGTCAAAATAATGGAAGTTATTTTGATTATTGTTGAACAATTTGATTATTTATGCTTTTTTAGTTTATTATACTTTTGTTAGAATTATTTTGTGTTCTCCAGTTTTTTTACTACTGTTTAAGCAACAAAATGGTTTAAATTTTTAAAAATTAAACTTGTAAAAAGTATTTCTTTTAGTAGTTAAATCGCAATTTTCCAAAGCTATCTAATGATGTATTACAAATAGGGTATTGCCATTTAAAAAGATTGATTTGGGGTGGCTACAGCCCCAGAGGTTGCTTAGTAAAGGTAATTTTTGTAGTCATACCCCACATATCCTAGACAAGGTATTAAAAAATGTTTGATATTATTTTAGGTCCAGACTAATAGAGCATTGATCGTTTTTAAATAGACATATATCAACATCGAGACCTCTAGAGTCCAGAGTCTAGACCTCAGCAGTTTAAAACGTTACGTCGCAACCTCAAACAAACAATCGGTGCAAAATCGGCTACAAAAGGATGAGCATGTTAAACAGGTAGGTAAAGGTTATCGAGTAAATAATCATATTAATATTAAAATCATGTAATCAATCACATTGGTGCATAAGTTTATAAAAACTAGTTTGTTTATTACTAAGTAAATGTGAGGGAGTATCGAATTCGATATTTTGCCCCTTATCTAAAAGTAATATTTTATTTGAATCTATAATCGAATGCAATCGATGTGCAATTATAAGAAGTGTGCAATTGGAAAAATGTCGAGTAATTGTTTGATGTAAAAGGGCGTCTGTTTCCGCATCCATGTTCGCAGTAGCTTCGTCCAAAACAACAATCGGGCAATTTCGAATGATCGCACGCGCCAAACATATCAATTGCCTTTGACCAGAGCTAAAACTGCTTCCCCTATTGCTGATTTCAAAATCCAAAGATTCAACTGATTTTCTCAATTGGACTTTTTCGAGGGCATCCCAAATTTCCGAATCGGAATACGAATTCATCGGGTCGATGTTGCTCCGGATCGTTCCGCTGAATAAAATTGGTTCTTGAGGAATGATGGCAATATTTTTTCGCAAGTACTCTATGCTAAGCAATTTTGTGTCGACGGAATCTATAAGGATCGATCCTTCTATATCGTATAATCTGAACAATGCGGAAATAATTGACGACTTTCCGGCACCCGTTCTCCCTACGATGCCCACTTTCTCGTGCCCTTTCACCGAAAAGTTTACATTTTTTAACACCTGATGTTCCCTGTTTCCTGTCCCACATTTCATAGACACGTTTTTGAATGTTATAGATCCGGCCTTGGGCCAGCCTTCGATATCAATCTGCCCTGATGTTTTATTTTCCTCTTTAATTTCCGTGTATTCCAGCAATCTTTCGACGGACGTCATTAAATTTTCAACTTCAGCCCATTGCCGAATCCCCCACTGAACGTCGTCGGATAACATAAACAGTTGGCTAATAACCAAACCAACGTCTCCAGCAGATGTGTCTAACAATAAAAGTGTGTATTTAATATAATGTTAGCTGTAAGTTTGATACTGCAACGTTGTCAAGCGATGACGTTGCGGCATTAAACATAGGGTTCGAACCCTAACTTACTAGAATCAAAAAATAAAAATCGTGTGATGACGAAAGCTATTAAAAATGTGCAGCAGCTGTCTATAATGAATCCAAAGGCCCTGGACACGCACATGGACATAAAGTGTGCCGAAGTGTATAGATCCTGATGACGATCGAATTCCTGTTTTAGGATGTGTTGTGCTTTAAACGCTCGAATTGTTGTCAAACCTTCCAGCGAAGAATTCAAATGGCCCAACAACGGGCTACGAGCTACAAGCAAACAAATTAGGTATTAATCTTAAGGTCGTTGCAAGGAATTAAGTCAAAATAATAGTTCTAAATTAGAACTTCTAATAGTCCCACTTTCTTTTAAAAACTAAGACTTAATAAGTCAGACTATTAGCAAGATTTGGAAATCTTTTGCAAGAGTTATTCTAACTTAATAAAACTTTCAGCAGAGAAGTGGTTCAACGATAAAAATAAATCTTCGGAATTTATCAGAGATGTATTTGGTTATTGTAAAAAAACACCAAGAAAAGTATTTAAAAATGTTGTTTAAGTGTTGTTATAAGGCTTATAACAACACAGAAGCAATGTGAAAAATTAATTGTGGGGTGAAACTTTTTTAGTGGAAATTAAATCGGCAATCATAGCTTCGATTTTTATCTTTAAATTAACTTTAATTGGATCCTCAGGTAAGTAAAGGCTTATATTTTTAGCTGTTAATTGCACTTTTTCGATATGTTAAAGCATTTCTTTTTTATTATGGCGTAGGTCTTTATATTGCTAATTTGGAATACTATAAATAATGGGTCATTCCACGCTTCTCGGGGATTTTTGTCCCGCCCGTCACAATTAAAAATTGTGAGTAAAAACTCCACGTTATAAAATTTATTTAAAAATATTGTTTATTATGCTTTTAATAATTTATAAGCACAATAAAAATAATATTATAAAATATTAATTTAATAACTTGTGGTTTTTACTCACAATTTTTAATTGTGACGGGCGGGACAAAAATTACCGAGTAACGTGGAATGCCCCTAATGCAAATTTGAAATATTCCAAATTATATTAATTTTTTGTTATATTTAATAATCAACCCAATTTCCTCTTTTAATTAATATTTGGTTACCTTTTTAATAAAAAACATTTGCTGCTATTTTGAAAAATTCCAAATTGGTGGTATTCCAAATTAACTTCATGTTACGTAAACAGAGATTTTTTACACTTCTCATTAGTGAAAAAATCCTTTTAAAGTAGTTTAAAATTTTCGTATGGCATAGTACATATGAAGGGGTCAATACAAGATTTTTTACACTTTTCATTAGTGAAAAAATCCTTTTAAAGTAGTTTAAAATTTTCGTATGGCATAGTACATATGAAGGGGTCAATACAAGAAGTGCCTAAGTCACATTTTCAATTAAATTGTTATCGTGGCTTCATCTAAGAGTTTTCACGTAAGTTGAAAACCAGGCAAACTCCCATTGAAGTAAATTCAAACTAAGGCACTTGGGCACATATTTCTGCCACTTTGAAAATACCACCTGAAACCTTACGTGAAACACTCTTAGATGAAGCCACAATGTAAATTTAATTGAAAATGTGACTTAGGCACTTCTTGCATTGACCCCTTCATATGTCGATCTAGGACATGTTATTTATTTTAATCGAAATAATCAAAATTTAAATTTTAATAACTTCTCCCAAATCTTGCTATTAGTATTATTCTTAACTTTTAAAAGAAAGTATACTTTCTTATAAGACTTTCAAAACTATTATTTTTACTTATTAAAGCTTTTTCAGAAAAAAATAGTCCACAAGAGTAAAACTTAAAATTTAATAATTACTTGTAGCTTCCAGTCTTTTTAAGCTTCTTCCTGTCGGCATGTATAAATGTTTAATAACTGCGGATATGGCTAAAAATATTAAAGCTGGTACCAAAAATACCCAGTTAACATAGGATATGACTGTTATAATTCCCACCAAATCAAATGCCACCTAAACAATAACAGTGCGTTAACGAATATTTACCTGCACCTACCTGTATACATACGATGTATTGACAGGATTATCAACTTACTCGTATTACTTCACCCAAAACAAATGAGAGCTCTTCATCGATATTTGTCAAATCTTGCGTGAATCTGTTTAGAATGTTTCCTATAAAATGATTATCGAAGAAAGACATCGATGCATTTATTATGGAGTTGGACATGGCCTTGTGTATATTAAGTGAAGCTACCCTCGAAAAGTTCAACAGAGTATAATACTTGATCAAATCCAACATAATGCTTGTTACCACTGCAACAGAATACATATTTAAAGTAAAACTACTTTCTTGCAAGGATTCTTTGTAAACTGATGAATCGGTATTGTTGGATAAATCCAAAGTCTTTTGATTTAAATCCACCCTGAAATTTGAACTCGTGTTAAAAGTAATTTTACATTTTACAGGTAGGTACCTGTTTTTACCAGTTTGTTAGCAAGGTGCTTGAAGTACTATCTACGAATTGAGCCATGATATAAAAGGTTAAAACAACAACAAACATTAAAACTCCTCCTCCGTACTTTATATACCTTAGATAGGTGCTAAAATTAACTTTTCCCTCTTTCTTCGTTTCGTGGTACACTTGAATTTTTTCGATTAATTTTGAATCTTCCTTGTAGTCATCGATATTTATTTTTTCATCTTTAATCATTAGGTTTTCCATGTATGTTTGTTTCTCTGCGGAAACACCGTTCTCAGGTTTGGACGCGGAAGAGCAAACAGATCCGCCATTTAAAATGATTAAATTATTGGCTTGACTTAAATGGTCATCGCATTGACTAACCATTATGATTATTTTGCCCGTAAGATATTTTTGAAAGCATTCCCTAAACACGTGCTGTTGCACACTGGAATCGAGGGCAGTTAACGAGTCGTCGATTAAATAGATATCGCTGTCTTTGTAAACGGCTCTCGCCAGATTAATTCGGGCTTGTTGGCCCTTGCTCAAGTTCATTCCTTTATCGGAAACGATGGTTTCGTCTCCCTGCTCCAGCAAATCCAAATCGTAACGTAAAGCACATACCTTAACCACCTCTTGGTATCTGTTTTCGTTTAATTCCTGTCCAAAAATAATATTTTGTTTAATGGAAGAAGGAAACAGCCAAGGGTCTTGGGAAGCATACGAAACGCTTCCTTTAACTGTTATCGTTCCACTATTTTCGCAACAATATTCCTGAAGGATCGTTTTTAGAAGGGTGCTCTTTCCGGAACCAACAACCCCTGTCACTATCGTTAAGCCTTTTGTAATGCGCAAATTAACATCTTTTAAAACATTTTTTTCGTTTATAGCAACAGACACGTTTTTTAATTCAATTTCAGGAGCAACCAGGTTCATTTGTTTTGTTTTTTCACCAGCTTCAGTTGTGGGTAATTCTGCAGCATTTAGCACCTTGTCAATTCTTATGAGGGATGCAATCATTTCCGCTCCTCTCCCCATTCCAAATGGTATATCGAATGCCAAGACGGTGCGAAGATTTCTAAAACACCCCAAAATGTAAAAAACAAACTCGGCATCGGTAGTGAACCCAAGTCTAATGTAAATCATTATCAACGAATAGAATGCTATTTTTGAAGATAACATTCCTATAATAATGACCACAATCTTGATGTACAATCCTTTCAGCAACTTCTTCAACTCCTTTCTAAAATATACTTAGTTATAGATATGTTGCATTAAAATTAGGTTACTTTATTTACTTTCTAGCATTCGTGACATTTGTATTAAAGTAACTTTCCCAGGTATACATTTTTATAATTTTTATTGCAGACAAAGTTTCCTGCATAATTTGTAATCTTTCGTCAGTTTTTTTTCCAGTTCCCAATCTCGTGTGCATGACAACGTTAGCGAGATATACTAAAAATGAAAAAAAGCTGGGGATATCCCTATACCTTCCTACTTATAGGTAGATTGAACAGGATTAGAGAAATACAAGTACGTCATCTCTTAGCGAACATAATGCTGCCAGTGGAATAATAGATCAAACGCCAGAGACTAGGGACTAAGGATGTCCTTATAGAGATGATACAAAATACTAGGAACAGGTATAAGCAAATAACAGCAAATACAAGGTCCACCTAGCATTTAGGAAAGGTATCACTAGTGGCCCACTAGTAGTGGGTAGCAGTATTTTTAGGAATACGTATTTGCGAAATTCAGTCATTCACGGTTGGCACTTGGCGGTAATAAAATATTACATTATAAATCACTATTTTTATGAAATTTTTAACTATTATAACCAACTCATAAATCATCTTGTTACATTTGACAGACAGTCTATCACAGACTGATCTGGTGGGAAATCAAGAACATAAAAACGCAAAATTCTAGGTATTAATCAGTTGTTGTTGATACAGACTAGCAACCAGTACTAGTAAAAACAAGCTCCGATACGCTCGGCCGAAAATACCAGGTATTAAAGTAACAAGTAGGAACATGCGACTAGGGATTGCAATTTAGCAGGGTTATTAATTCAAACATTAAATTTTGACCCATTACTGGTAATATCAAAAGAAAAAATTGAACCTACACCTCGACAAAGTTTTTTGTTTTGAGTGCGTTTCTTAAAGAAACTAAGAAAATTGAATGTTTACATTAATGTTTAACCAGGTTGGGCTAATTCTAGATATGTGATACAATTTGTTGTGTGCAGTCTTGGTTGCATAGTATGTACCGATTGCGGCAAAGGCCACGTCGTTAGACGGTGTGGATCACGTGATGTTCTTACATCTCGCCTCTGTTAGCTTACCAACCCAGTATATAGGCTTAGGGAGTCCTTTGTTTTGGGTGTGTTGCCCGACACTGATGAGACCCAATATAGGTCGAAACAGCTGTCTGTCGGTATTTGAAGTAGGTGGAACGCACTCAAAACAAAAAACTTTGGCGTGTGTAGGTTTAATGTTTTTAATTCAGCTGGATTGTTGCTGGATCGCAATCCATCCAGCTAGATCCAGCGCGGATCCAGCAATTTACAACATTTTAAAGACAACTTTTATTATTATTTTCATAAGAAAAACCTTTAATACGTACCAACTTATAGAAAATAAAAAATAAATGAAATAAAAATTTAATTCTACAGCCATTAAATTAATTAATTAATTAAAATTTTTCATTAATATTTTTTTAATTTAAAACATTAATTTTAGCAATTTTCATGTTTTGACAAATTGGCGGCAAAGTGGCGGCTGGTGGATTTTGGGCACACCCATATATCTCAGTTATTAGACATGGGACCCACATCAAATTTATATGAGTTTACAATGACATTATATAAACAAGTTCTGCGCAAGCAGAATTTAAATTGAAGTTTGCGAAAAAAAAGTTAGTTTTTAAGTGTCTCCCCCAGCCTCCTGCCCCCCCAAATTAAGATAATTCAAATTAAAGTGGTATAATATTTAATTCACTGAAGTTTATCGACAAATTTCAAATTTTATTAAAAAATTTCAAGAAATACAGGTTTTATACCATTTTAAATTTTTATTTCTTTTACTAAATTAAAAAAAAAACATAGAAATGGTATAAAATCTGTAATACTTGAATTTTTTTATTAAAATTTGAAATTGTTCGATAAACTTTAGTGAATTAAATATTGTACCATTTTAATTTGAATTATCTTAATTTGGGGGGGCAGGAGGCTGGGGGGGCACATTTAAAAACTAACTTTTTTTCGCAAACTTCAATTTGAATTCTGCTTGCGCAGAACTTGTCTATAGAATGTCATTATAAACTCATATAAATTTGATGTGGGTCCCATGTCTAATAACTAAGATATGGGTGTGCCCAAAATCCACCAGCTGCCACAAAACAGTTTTGTTAATTTTTAAACTCTATGTAGCTACATATACTATAGAAAATTACTATTAGTAATATGTAAACCTAAATATTTAAATAAATAAATAATGAATATTATTTTTAAAGGACTGAAAAACTTTTATGAAGAAAAATATTTCACTATTACATATATTTAAATTTGTAGTACATTTATCCTCTTTTAAACCCCATAATATGAATTATATCAACTAGACAATTAAATATATGTAGAATATTATAATTCATTTTGTTCAAGCTTTTTAAGTAAAAATCAGTCTATAGACTGATTATAAGATAATTATCTTTATTATTTTTTATAATAATTATTATTACAAGTTTTGTTTTTTTGGTGCCAATATAACTACTGTAATGTAATGTAATATTTATAAATAAATTAAAATTAAAATTCAGTCAAATTACTCACAATTCTCACAACAAACAAGCCGGGTCAGAGCGGTGCCAAGAAGACACTTATTTAGCATGAAACTTTATCAAGTCCGAGCGAAAAGTGCGGTGTAGAAAGGGGTGTAGCACGTGCCCCAAGCGTGACAGAACAGTAAGGTCGTTTCCGCCGAGGATGTTTGACCTAGCAAAGCGGCAACGCTGTCAACGTAGACTTTTGCGCCATTATTTTAAGCACCCGGTGCTGGATCCAGCAGGCTGAAAAATGCGCTGGATCAAGCAATTGCCATCCCTATATGGGACGTACCTGTTCCCAAAAAATACTGATTTGTATAATCTCTATATTCTTATGCTCCATTACTTATCCGGCAATTTCGATGTCTGCGATCTATGACGTATATGTATTTATTTAATCCTGCTTACTCTACAGGTACGTACTTTGCAATGGGGTGACGACAAACAACATTGCTACTCCCAGTAAGCCCACCCAACCCATTTTGGCATAGATTAAATAAGAAACGTAAATGGTTCGAAATCCACCGACCCACATGTCGTTAATAGTCCAAACGCTCGATTCGAAAGCGGACACATCCTTCGTGATGAGCGTGACAATGTTGCCGACACCAATCTCCGCCATCGCAGCAGGCGTAAGCCTTAAGGCCTTCCGGTAAATTAAGGCAGAGAAGGCCGTCCTTACTTTCAACGCAAACTTATGCAAAACCAGAATGTAGTTGTGCATGTAAATTATTCGAAAAAAATTAATACCCAATACGACACTGGCATAATAGTAAGCGTCATTTTTGGTCAATTTGCTGTGCGGACTGAAGTATCCAATCAGATTACTCACAGCATCTGTTTCAACTGTCCTAAAATTGAAATTTTCATGAAAGCTGATGAAACAATTATTCTTACATACGCCTTAAAAATCTGCCAAATTAAATCTAGTAATCCCAAGAAAAAATATTGTTTACCAAATCTTTCATATATTAATCGGATTGTTGCTATTTTTTTTTCTTCTCTTTGATTTTCTAATTTATCGCCACATTTTTTCGACTGACAACTACTTACAGCCTCGTATAGCTGGTCTTCAATTAGTTCATTACGAAATCCTTTTTTGAACGTGCCACTGGTGTATCTAAAATATCGATTCAAATAAATAACTACATTTAAATAAAAAATATGACTTACAAAAAAGTTAAAAGTGAAAATGCATTGGCTCTGTCCCTCGGATTGATTTTGCGTTTTCTTGATTCGCTGTGATCCATCGCACTTTCTGCTTCAATTTACAACAATTAACATTAAAACATTAACTTAAAATTAGACTTTTATAACATGTTTATTTAAGAATTAATTGAGATTATAATAAATACAAAAGGTAAAAAACTTAAACTAGTTAAATAATAATTACCTACCCACTTGTACAACACTACTTGTTCACATAAATCTAAGACGGTTTAAGATAGTCATTTTTTAAATAATTTATATATAAGACACTAGGCCAGACTACAAATTCCTGGGATAATGTGAAGAAAACAATTATTTATCGAGACTTGTAAGTTTATTAACATTGTGTTTGGTAAACAATAAAATGTCGTTAATTTTAAGATAAACTTAAATAAATAAAATTTATTTGTATAGTAATCTTATTTTTAATTAGAACTTACCAAAATATCGACCTTATTTAAAGGTAGGTAGTAAATAATAAATAAATAAAAGTCAATTTTATTTTATTGTTTATTAAAATAATAAATACATTTTAGGTTTAGACAAATAAATACGTAAATTAGTCAATTATGAAATTATTCGTTTTTCTTTACGTCCAAATGTAAACCGGACTGCTGCACCATTTTGGAGAAGGAGCCCTCTCTGTTTTTCAGTAATGTTTTCGGATGATCGTATTCGAGCACGTTTCCCCTGTCGAGAACCAAGACCTTGTCGCATTCAATAATCGAGTGCAATCTGTGAGCAATAGTGAATACGGTGCAATTTTTAAAATTCTCCTTGATGGTGTTTTGCAACAAGGCGTCCGTTTCTGGGTCCATGTTTGCAGTAGCCTCATCCAAAACGACAATTTTATTTTTCCTAATTATCGCTCTGGCCAGACAAACGAGCTGCCGCTGTCCGGAACTGAAGTTCGTTCCGCTCTCTTTGATCGGCATATCGAGGCTCGGAATCATAGCCTTAATTTTAACTTTTCCGATCGCCTCCCATATTTGCTCGTCTTCGTAGATGTTTAGCGGGTCGATGTTGGATCTCATGGTGCCCGTAAACAAAACCGGATCCTGGGGAATGATGGCGATGCTTTTTCTAAGCACCGACAGCGAGACCGTTTTCGTGTCCACCCCATCGATGTCGATGGAGCCGTCGATGTCGTACAACCTGAACAGGGTCGAAATAATGGAAGATTTTCCGGCCCCCGTGCGGCCCACGATCCCGATCTTCTCCCCCGCTTTCACCTCTATACTCAGACCCTTTAAGACCGCCTCGTGCGTGTTGAAATATTTCAGAGAAACCTTTTTGAATTGTACCGCTCCGTGTTTGGGCCAGTCTTGCGGCGATTGGCCAGACGCGTTTTCCGCCTTAATTTCCGTGTATTCCATGACGCGTTCCATCGACGTCATCTGGTTTTCCAGCTCGGCCCATTGCCGCACGCCCCATTGGACCTGGCCGGCCAACATAAACACCTGGGTAATGGCTAATCCCACTTTGCCGGCACTTTCCCCTAAAACAAACAACACACTGTTTAAAATATCTGTGGTGTAAAGGGTAATCTTAAAATGGTCTCTAAATCCAACACCAAGTGGTGTTAATATAAACACCATGAATTATGGTTGAAAATGTTATTTACATCAAACACCAAAACGGTGTTTATCTAAAAATATTTGAGAAGTGCACCTACACAGAAAAAAAGGAATAGATAATTTAACTATATTAATTTAGCTGTCCCATGAGTATTTATTTAAATCAACTGTGGGAAGGTTAATATAAACAAAGATTAGTTTGACGGTACTAAACCAGATAGTTATTTTATTTTCTTTAAATTGGTTAAATTAGCCCAAAAAACTTTAGTGAAACCAACCCGCAGTATGGTTCAGTTTACTAAATATGTTGTTTGTAAAATAAGAGTTACTTCAACCTAAAGCACTGTTAAAACGATTAAAACAATTTGCCGTGCATTCCTGGTTGCATAGTATGTACCGATCGCGGAAAAGGCGGTGTGGATCACGTCTTAAATCTCGCCTGTGATGACTTACATGAAGAGTATATAAGCTCAGGTAGTCCTTTGCTTTGGTGTGATACTACAAGTTGTTCGATACTAAAGAGACCTTAAATAGGTGGAAACAGCTGTCAATACTTATTTTAAGTTGGTGGAACGCACTAAAAACATTATCTCTAGCGAGTTGAAGGTTCAATTTTCTGGAATAATACCACTGGTAATATACTAGTAATGCGTCAAGGAACTGCCTGTTTCCTTTTTTTCCCTTTTTTTTCGGTGTAGTATGATTTAATTTGACCAAAAACACATAATATTTATTTTAATACTGTGTGAAAGTTAAATTTACACTATTTTAGTATTTGAATTTACACTGGACCAACGAACCATATTTAACACCATTTTGGTTTGTATCGATATAGACCATGTATGGTGTTAATTTGGTATTAAAATGGTCATGAAATGTTGAACAGTGCAAAACTTGAACAAACGAACCTGTCAAAGGTAAAGCGCCGCCGACTTACCGGAATTGAAGAACATAAATCTGGATACAACCATTGTAATCAAACAGGTACACAAAAAGTCTATAGTGAAACCTAATGCTCGACTTGAACAAAGTAAAGTGTAATGAGCTGACGTGAAGAGATCCTGATGACGATCAAATTCGTCTTTTAAAATCAATTGCTGCTTAAAAGCCCTTATGGTTGTAAGACCTTCCAATGATGCGTTTAAATGGCCCAATAGTGGACTTCGAGCTAAAATAATCTTATAGGTGAGTTTCCTAAGCGATTCCTAAGTACTCGATACTTACTTGATCCCTCCAATCTTTTCAAACTACGTCCCAGTGGCATGTACAGTTTTCTTAGTCCAACTAATATTAACAATAATATTATAGCTGCCACCAAAAATCTCCAGTTTATCATTGTCAATAAAAATACGATTCCCCCAACTGCAAACACAATCTAAAAATTGAGTTCATTAAAAAGAAACATTAATTTTACAAATAAACTCACCCGAAAGCATTCGCGAAGCACACTGGGGAGCTGTTCGTCCAAATTGTTTAAATCTTGCGAAAATCTGTTAATGATATTGCCAATAAAGTGCGAATCAAAAAAATACATGACCGCATTTATAATGGAGTGTGTCATAGCTTTGTGTATGCAAAAAGAAGCCACCCTGGCAAAATTTAACAACCAGTAAGCCCTTATCAGCTGTAATGCCACTGAAACTATCAGCATCACGCTGAACAAGTTGAAAGTAAATTTACTATCCTTTTCCAATCCGGCACACTCTGATGCATTGGTGCTGACATTTAAAAGTTCTTGACAAACCAACAATTTTGGTGTATAATCAACCCTGGAAATAAAAAAATATTATTTATTTTGGATTATTTAGTTTTTATTATTTAATAAATACCAAGAGCTCAAAAGTTTGTCAGAATAACTTTCAGAGTATTGTGCGGCAAAAAATGTAACTATAATTCCGAGGAAAACAAAATATCCTCCACCAAACTGAATGTATTTTTTATAAATGCCAAAATCCACGCTGCCCTCCTTCTTTTCTTCGTGGTATACTTTTTTCTTGACAGTTTGTTCTGCCTCGATTAAAGTGTGTTTCTCTGTTTTGTTAGGTTCGGCATCTTTGCCAGGTACCTCGATTTCCTCGTTTTGAACGACTTCGTAATCGTTTTCGCCTTCGTCGATTTCATCGTCTTCGCCCATAACTTCCTCCACCTGTTGTATCAATTGTTTGGTTGGTTGGCCGGTCGATTTAATCGTGCCATTGCTCATAATCACCACTGTGTCCGCTTCCACCAAATGATGATGACTCTGCGTTACCAAAACGACCAACTTGCCTTTCAGGAAGCCTTTTATGCATTTTGCGAATATAAAGTCTTGAACGTGTGCGTCGAGAGCCGTCAGCGAGTCGTCCAACAGGTAAACTTCGCTTTGCCTGTAGACGGCCCTGGCCAGATTAATCCTGGCCTGTTGCCCTTTGCTCAAGTTTATGCCTCTGTCGGCCACGATGGTTTCGTCACCGTGCTCCAACAAATCCAGGTCGAATTTGAGAGCGCAAACATTTATCACCTCGTCGTATCTCTCGGCATTGAACTTTTCCCCGAATAATATGTTTTGCTTGACGGAAGAAGGGAATAGCCATGGATCCTGCGAGGCGTACGAAATCCTCCCGTAAGTCACCAAGTGGCCACTGTCTTTTGGATAATCCTGCAAAATCGTCTTTACAAGGGAACTCTTTCCAGAGCCAACGTTGCCTGTAACAAGAGTTAAACCTGCGCTCAAGCTCAAAGATACGTCTTGGAGAATGAGCATATCCCTGATTTTTACCGAAACTCCTTTCAACTCGACTTTCGGTTTTAAAGTTATTTCATCGGAACCGGAACCTTCCGCTTTCTTGATTTCTTCCGCCTGCAGGACCAAATTGATTCTTTTCACGCTGGCGTACAGCTCGGAACCGCTTGCCAAACTGCTCGGAATCAAATAACCCAATGACCATTTTAAATCTTTAAAACAGGCCACGATGTAAAATATGAGCTCGGGGGAGGCGTTTTCGCCCAACCATACATATAAGCTGATCAAAACATAAAACGAGACCTTTGATCCGAGTACTCCGACCATCACTAGGACAATCTTCAGGTAAAACCCTTTTAGCATAGAGTCGACTTCATTTCTAAAACGTTTTTTTATTTAAATGCCGATTATCCTTAAGTCGTGTAGAATCAAAAGCGGACATGTCACACAAAAGGAGTTTCGAGAAAAATACAAAAAACCGCCAGGAACTTCTATAGGCGGAATATTGTAGGACATTTTTCAATAAATACTAGGGTGTGCCAAAAAAACTCGATATTTTTTTTTCTTGCTCTCCACCCAAAATATCGTAGAATATGTCCGAACAAATATTCTATTAAAAGCGGAGCTCATAATTTCAATTTTAAGAGGTCCCTCATCGAATCTGAAGTTTTGCCGCTTAAATAACACAGAAAACTGACTTTTTTACCTTATTTATTCTTGCAACCTAGGACAAAATTTTTTTTTCATAAAATGCATGACTAATTCTTACAAAGCATTAAATTTGGACAAAAAAATCTTATTAAGCCGAATTTCTATTTTCATTATTTGATTTTTTACAGAGCTTTAAATTTAAAGTTAATAATACAAAAATGATGAATTTATACGCCTGTAACTTTTAGAATATTGACGATACAAAAAATTCGCCTAAAACTTTTTTGTGCTCCATCAGACAAGCTAAAAAATTGCCATTTGACTTTTTCGTCTAACTTCAATAGTTTAGCTGAAAAAGGCAAAAAACGTAAAATTTTAAACTTAAAGCTCTGTAAAAAATCAAATAATGAAAATAGAAATTCGGCTTAATAAGATTTTTTCGTCCAAATTTAATGCTTTGTAAGATTTGGTCATGGATTTTATGAAAAAAAAATTTCTTCCTAGGTTGCAAGAATAAATAAGGTAAAAAAGTCAGTTTTCTGTGTTATTTAAGCGGCAAAACTTCAGATTCGATGAGGGACCTCTTAAAATTGAAATTATGAGCTCCGCTTTTAACAGAATATTTGTTTAGACATATTCTACGATATTTTGGGTGGAGAGCAAGAAAAAAGAAATATCGAGTTTTTTTGGCACACCCTAATAAATACATTATATTTACCTTTACCTTAAGTTTCAAAACCTATCAAGTCATTAAAATTAGTTTTACTTAAATACGACTAGGGTTGGGACAGTTGAAATTTTCAAATGAAAATTTCAACTTTGAAAGTTTCAAACTTGAAATATTTCAATTAGTTGGAAAAGTGAAATTTTAAAAATTTCAAATGAAAATTTCAACTTTGAAAGTTTCAAACTTGAAATATTTCAATTAGTTGGAAAAGTGAAATTTTAAAAATTTCAAATGAAATTTTCAATCCGAAAATTTCAACATTGCCTATGAAACTTTCAGAAGTTTCATTGAAAGTTTCGCAATTTACTGAAAATTTCGTATAAATTTCACATGCGGCCTCCCCTGGGACCTTTAATAATAATTTACAACAGATTCCGAATCGACCAATAAGAACGAGTTATCAAGCGTCTTGGCGTTTTTGTTTAGTTCGGCTTGGATTGGAATACACTATAACTAATTATTGTTACTTATATGCATAAATTAATTTAAATAATTTAATTCATTTACCAATTTAATTTGTAAATTAAATCAGACTTTAAATTTTTTTTAAAAGTCATGATTAATTTAAACTTTTACTTTTGCTATAATTGCATCGGAATACGGATGAAAAATGCCTTTGGCTCATAAAATTTTGACGAAGTTTCTTCAATTTTCGTAAAATTTCAGTAAAATAGATAAAAATATTAAATATATATAAATATAAAACAATGAAAGTGGCACAATCTCGTTAGCTTACCAAAAAGTTCTATATCTCTCTTAGTACCTAATTTTAAAAATATTTTAAAAAGAAATCTGAAGAAATCTCATAAATGTCATGAAAATTTCAAGTGAAATTTCAAGAACAAGCAAAAAGTGAAATTTTCCCAACCCTAAATACGACAAAGGGGTCCTGAATGAGTCATAGGTCACATAAAAATGACGCCAAAAACAGAATGCGCTATCGGAATAAGGACCCTCTCTAGAGTTTAAAAAAATGTTTTTTAAAATTGTAGTTGATCCTTTTTTAAAATTTTGGAAGTTAATTCAAATACCAACTGTAATTTAGTGACTTATTTAAGATTTTATGCGATTTTTTTTTAAACTGAGCCCTTTAGGAAAAAAAATTAAAATAAAGAATTAAAGACGAGAAAATTATCTATTAAAGGATGCTTCAACAACCGCGTAGATATCATTTTTTGAATTACAAAATGTTAAAAAACTCGATGTTTTTGCATATTAATCGAAACCATATTTCAAAAAAAAGGAAAGGACAACAGTAATTGGTTTATCTATTTAAAAACTGTGTATTTAAGAAAAGTATCTAAGTACCTAAGTAATGTATGTTCAGTTGGGGTATACGCTCACGCAATAATACTATTATCAGTTGCTTACATTAAATTGCCAACAAGGAGTAAATGAAAAAATCTAGTTGGCCATCACCTTTGCAAGGCAACACTTTTGGAATTTTGGAATGAACTAGTGAAACCAGGGGAAAAGAAAAAGCGTTGAGATGGCCTAAAACACATCCTGACACTCTTCTTACAAAAAATTGAATGCAAACTGTTAGTCCTTTGGTTATTTTACCATACGTGTCCCAATTTAAGAGTATGGATAAATTAGTTGAGAATTATTTTTCCACCAAAACGCCAAATTTGGACTAAATAAAAATGCACATACAAACATTAGTTATGTTTAAAGCTGCTGATATATCTCAATCTTTAAAAATTCATGTACTAATGTCCGCGAGTTTATCAAATTTTTCAAATAAATACAAGATAAACAACATGGCACATCCTAACTTCAAAGAGTCGTTAAAAAGAGGAGTTGTAAAGTTTCCATCATTTAATGCTTTTTCTTATGTTGATAACTTAAAAATAATATTTGAGGAGGTGCATTCCAAAACTAGGCTTATCCATATTAGTTGTTTTTGAGCAAAATGTCAAAAACCTTACACGTGAGTACTAACGCATATCAGGCAAACACAATACTTTAAACGAAATATATAGACATAAGTAAAACATTTATATACCTTGATTAAAAAGGTATAGTCCAGATTAAAATAATTTAAAATTACATACGTATATGCCAATATAAACAATAGATAAGGCAAGTTTTGGAACAATAGTCAATTTGTAAATGAATTTTAAATGGAATAGGGTGAGTTTTAGAATATTAAGAACTTTTCAGGGTATAGGGGGATGTTAGATGTACAGATGTTAAATGTACATACACCACTAACTCATTTTTATTAAAAAGTGGATAAGCCGAGTTTTGGAATGGACCTCCTCATTTGACAATTATTAAGTACTTAATTGTCTTTTTTGTTTTATATAGGTTATATTCCTTTAAAGAAAAATTATGCTGCAATGTTGAAAGTAACCTATGGCAGGTTATTTACAAAAAAATTAAACATTCAAGACTACGTCCATGTATTTCGTAGGCCAATATTTTAGGCATAATTATGGAGGCATGATTCAATAGATAATTAAGTCACCTTTATTTCCTTATTCAAAATTTTTTTCCAAAGGCCTCCGCTTTAAAGATAATAACAAAACCTAAAATGAATCACCAAATGACGTTTGATATTTGGATTATGAAGAAAAACTTCAAAAAAAGAACAGGTACAATTTTGAAAAACATATTTTTAAACATCAGAGGAGATCCTTATTCCAATACTGCAGTCATTTTTCTGTGACCTATGACTCGTTTAGGACCACTGTGACGAGTAAGGGATGATTTTTAACACATACTATTTAGATTCTGCAACCAAATAAATGACCTTATACATTGTAATTACAATGTACAATATGACTTGTCCGCTTTTGATCCTGTGCGACTCACTTAATAAAAAAAAATTTCTTACTGTCTTGCCAGCGTAACTAAATCGTGAAAATACTTTTCCCAAGTATACATTTTTATAATTTTAATGGACGATAAGGTTTCTTGAGTTACTTGCAATCTTTCGTCAGTCTTGGCACCGACGGTAAGCCTCATTATGCTTATTAACTTTCCTATGTATACTAAAATTAAACAATTACAAAATCATTCAGCAAATTTTATAGAGTAACTTACATTGAATTGGAATTAATAAAATCATGCAAGCAATCCCAATAAAAGCAATGTAGCCCATTTTGAAAAACAGCAAGCAACAGGTGACTAGAGCCTGGATGGTATTTATCCACATATCGTTTACTATCCAAACGGATTGTTGAAACGTTTGGACGTCTTTGGTTATTAAAGTAACAATGTTTCCGAAATTGATGTTCGCCATTGCCGAAGGAGTGAGTTTCAGTGCTTTTCTGTAAATCAACGACGACAGCCCAGTTCGAATTTGTATGGCGAGCGTTTGCATTATTAAAATCCAATTGTGAACGTAAATAAACTGAGCGGCATTCAATCCCAGCAAAATTGACCCGTAATAATACGCATCATTTCTGCTTATTTCCTTTTGACCCTCTTTAAAGTAGCCTATTAGTTGGCTCATTGAATACGGCTCCACAATTCTAAAAGAAAATGTTCAAAATTATCGATATTAAATGTTTAAACTGTTGTATTTACGTGTGCATAACTTTCCATGTTACATGTATCAGCCCGTAAATCAGGTAACGTATTCCGAAACAGTGCCATAATAATAACGCTATAGTGGGTTTTTGTCCTCCGGAGCTTATTTTCTTCCAGGCCAACTCGACCTGATCTCCTCGAATCTTCGAATTGCAACTGTCCAACACACGATACAAGTCTTTTTCCTGGAGATCATTTTTTAAAGCTTTGCCAAAAAGTTTTCTGGTGTAGCTAAAACAACCTAGGTATTTAGCACTGATAAACAACTAGGTACCAAAACTACTCACAAAAAAGTTATAAGAGAAAGTAAATTGGCTTTTTCCTTCGGATGTGCCTTTCGTTTTTCAGCTTTGCCGTGATCCATTATTTCGGAATAACTACTTAATTGTTAAATTTGTTTCAGTAGATTTTATTATTATAGGTACCTTTTATTATGTCAACAAATGGAATGCATAAATGCATCTGCTCTAAAAACAAAATAATACCTTAATACTATCTTTTAAAACATTGCACAACTAGATTAGATTCGTGGGAATCTTTTAAGACAAAATAAATATTGCTCGCTTATACCTATGCTTACCTTGTCTAGGAACAGAAAAACATATTTAGGAATCACTTAATTTAATGTAAATACATGTTCAAGGCACAGCACAAAAAATACTTCTTGGTCATTAGAGTGAAGAAATTGATAACAAGACAAAATAAATAAAACCCCTTTAAAAAACACATCGTGTGATAGCAAGTTTATTAACACCAATTAATTATTTATTTAATTATTTATTACAATTCCACGGAAATATTTAGTCATGAGGCTTAATTTTTATTTTATTTTTTTATTGATTTCGTCGTTAAAAATATTAAGGACATTAATAGATTTTTTGAACCAATTTTATATCAACTGTACGAACACTAAGGCTTTTTGATATTAACAATATCAATGAGATAATGGAAATATAAGTAAACATAAACATGTCATTAATTGACCCATATTGGTTTAAGTATCTAGTACCTAGATTTTAATAACTAATTACGACTATTTATAAATGTATGTATTAATAGAATTATTTCAATATTTATTTAGGTTTTAACTACCCTACGTAACAGTAAGGCAAATAATAAATATTGTTTATAAAAATAACAATAGCTTTTTAATAATAATGCCAAATCTTGTAACAATAATTGCTTAAACAGAACTAAATTACCTTTATGATAATCCTAAGACAACGTCTAGTCCTGCATACCTACGTATTTTACTTAAGTAAAAGATAAACTTTCTACACATAACAAGTAAACCAAACAACAAGCAACTTGATTTACGCAAATCAAACCTTTAAGTTTATTGCGGTGCAACTTTTTTAAAAACTATGAACTGAAAACTATAAAAGCACATGGAAAGGAAAAAGGAAGTCAAACGGCCTAGATTATACTAAATTTTAAATGCTTTAATTGCATAATTATTTAATGACAATTTCAAATTTGGGTAGATTAAATAATGGTACCTAATATGCGTAAATACTGTATACGAAGTTTTAGTAACGCCTTTTAATCACGAATTTAATTTAGGCACGAGCTACTTTGCGAGCGAGTGCTTAATTAAATGAGGGTCTAGAACTTTTAGGCTAGAAGTTTATAAACGAGTTGCATACTAAACTTGTTTTTACAACAAATAATTATTATTATCTAAAAATGATTTAAATTTAATATTTGTACACAGCGATATCTATACAAAAATAGAGTAACCGTAAGAATGGAAATCTGTATTACCGGCGGCAAATTTTTCTGTGTAAAACAAAATTTATCCCTTGAAAATGGACTGACAACCCTTTAAATCCTATATAAAGGGTGATTTTTTTAATGTGTCCGAACAAAAAACTCAAAAAAGCCTAGGGATAGAAGTATCCATATATAATCCATAGGTGACTCAATAGATGTCATATAATAAAATTAATTTAGCATTTCATACAAAGCAATCACGATGTATTAATTATAGAGTCGCCAATGTCGGAACTCCAAACAAATGTCAGTACGTCAAAATTAATTCAAGCGCAGCATTTTGACAGAGCAGTGTTTATTTTTAGTTTAGGATATTTATCGGCATTGTAAGCAGTGGCGGCTGGTGGATTTTAAGTATACCAATATCTCAGTTATTAGACATGGGACCCACACCAAATTTATAATAGTTTATATTGACATTAAATAAACAAGTTCGGCGCAAACAGAATTTAAATTGAAGTTTGCGAAAAAATATTTGTTTTTCCTGTCGCCTACCCTGCCTCCAGGCCCCCCTATTTGAGATAATTCAAATTAAAGTGGTGCAATTTATTATCTACTATAATTTATCGACAAATTTAAAATTTTATTTAAAAAATCCAAATATTACAGTTTTTATACCATTTTAAATATTTTTTTATTTTAATAAAATAAATAATAAAAATTTAAAATCGAATAAAATCTGTAATATTTGGATTTTTTAAATAAAATTTTAAATTTGTCGATAAATTATAGTAGATAATAAATTGCACCACTTTAATTTGAATTATCTCAAATAGGGGGGCCTGGAGGCAGGGTAGGCGACAGGAAAAACTAACTTTTTTTCGCAAACTTCAATTTAAATTCTGTTTGCGCCGAACTTGTTTATTTAATGTCAATATAAACTATTATAAATTTGGTGTGGGTCCCATGTCTAATAACTGAGATATTGGTATACTTAAAATCCACCAGCCGCCACTGATTGTAAGTAAGGGATATAAGTTTTTTTAGTTTTTATCAATAATTTCTAATGCTTTTAGCCAAAATTTTATACCACATGAGTTATGAGTAAATAAAATAATTCTATTGCTTATCCTATTTATATTACGCCCTTGAAAAAAAATTATTTGGAGTAGAAGCTTTTTTATGCTTCGTACAGTTGCCTGCCTCAGCTACGCTTCGGCCGTACTCACCACAAAAAGAGTCACTTCTACTCCTTATAACATAATCTACTATTTTATGAAATAACATCCCAGGTAGCACACTGACGTCTATATGACGTTGCTAACGTCATTTAAACGTCAAAAGACGTCATACAAACTTCAGCAAACGTCAGTATGCTACCTGGGATTTAATGACATATGTCATTAAATGTTATTTCATATAATAGTAGATTATGTCATAAGGAGTAGAAGTTACTCTTTTTGTGGTACAGAGATTGACGGCCGAAGCGTAGCTGAGGCAGGCAACTGTACGAAGCACAAAAAGAGCTTCTACTCCAAATAACATATACAATTTTTTTTCAAGGGCGTAGTATAAATAGGATAAGTAATAGAATTATTTTATTTACTCATAACTTATGTGGTTTAATATTTTGGCTAAAAGCATTACAAATTATTGATAAAAACTAAAAAAACTTATATTGTTTAAAAATAATTTCGGACAAATGCTTTCCGCGGATACTAGTAACAAAGCACATTTTATTAATCCCATTTTCGACCACTTTTTCAAGCAATTCAAGTCTTATTTCCGCAATTGTCCAAGTTATGTTAACTTCTAAGTTTTGAATATATTCTTAAGTATAGTTAAAGGTGAATATCAATACAATACAATTTAATAGAAATTAAATAATGCCATTGCAATGTACATGGTACATGTATCTCGTAGGTACTACCCACCAACAATAGAAATCAATTGAATCTCTTAAATCATGTGTTTTTTTGCACATCATAAAAGTGCATGTCTTTGCTTTTCTTATCTTTTATAATCTGTGATCTTGCCTTTTTGATTTGACAGTAAAAACGATGTCAAAAAATTCGATCAGATCTAATCGAAGGGATTCTAAAAACCAATCAAAACAAAGCAATATTTCGACAAAAGTAAAAAGCGATGAAACTTGTAACAGCGAGACTAACGGCGAAAAATCGTTTGGTGGGAGAGAAGAGTTGACTTCGATATTTTTTAATTTTATGTTGGAGACAATTGTTGAAAGCCGAGAAGCGCAGTTGGTCAGTAGTTCGGTGAGCGACTTGCCTCAGAATCTGGAAAAGGTTATTTACAAGGATGTTACCGAAGACGACTTTACAAAATCAGAAGTTATGGGAACACTGGAATCCAATGTTCTGTTAAAATTAAAACACCCCCAAGATTTCAGTATGTTGAATTTTTATTACTCGAGTAAATAATGTTTAGGGATAACAATTTTGTTTTTTGATAAAGGAGAGTCAGACAGCAAAGCTAACAGAATGGAATTGTCCGGTGCATCTGAGTCGAGACTAATTACATATGTAGAATCGAATTCGGTAATTTTTTTATTACGACCTATTTATTTCATAAAAAGTTACTTTTTACCTCTAGAAAAACTCAGCGCAACAAACTCAAGATATTTTAATTGAAATGGAGTCAATTATTTTTCTTAACGGAAATCAATATTTGGGAGAAGTTAGTGAAGGTATTATGCATGGAAAAGGTACATTTTATTGGACGGACGGAACAATCTATGAAGTGGGTATTGTAACGTTTTTTTGTGTTCGAAGTGTGAATAAAACACGCACTAAACTATTTATTTTATAACTTATTTACACTTAAAACACTAAGAAACTACGTACATTTATTTATTTTATCGTCGCGAGTACCAAAACTTGACTGACTGCTCCATGCTGCGCTGTTCCTTATATATTCAGTGCCTACGTGCCTTCCCGAACATTCCAGCGAGCTACGAACCGCTCTCGATCGCTCGAGCGCTGACTCACCGGCGATGACTTATCGGCGATGAGTCATCATTCCGAGATCCAGAGGGGTACTCGCTACAGCATATTAAAATAGTTAAAGAAAAAGCACTTTATATCAAAATATTACGTACAGGGAACATTCAACGAGGGGTTTCCCACGGGAATAGGCAAAATGATATTGCCTGATTTGGCGACATACAACGGAGAGTTCTTTAAAGGGGAGTTTCACGGCGGTGGGACTTTAAATGTTATCAACACCAGTATGATTTACTCTGGAAATTGGAATGATGGAAAAAAATGTGGCAAGTAGCTATAAGTTAGACGGTAAAGTTTACTTAATGTACACAGTTTACAGGTGCTGGATGGTTACTGTACCAGCCGAAAGATTGGTATGAAGGTGAGTGGCTAGAAGGTCATCGACATGGTTTTGGATTTAGACAGTACAGAATGGGGGGCTGTTATGAGGGAAGTTGGATCAAAGGAGAAAAATCTGGGAAGGGAATGATGCTATATTCAAACAATAATGTAATCAGTGATTACTATACAGCAAACGGAAAAATATAGAACTGTATAGGATGACTCCCCGTTTGAATAATAAATCTTAAAGTTTTATCAGAACTGTATTGAATCGTGCTTTGTTTTTATATTTTTCGCCTCTATGCCTATGCACGACTTAAAGATTTTATTTTTATATTCAACAGTCCAATGGTGCAGCAACTTTGGATTCCTATTCTCTTCAGAGACATAGAAACTCAAGCTTTTCGAATTTTACTGGCAATGATTTTCGTTAATATCCCCGAGAATTATACAAAAACAGCGCAATCCAATATCGCAACGGTTTCGACAGTCGACTTCTCTTTACTCTACCAAGTTTTAGAAACTGGAGTCTATCTAATACTGTTCTAGTCAATATTTCTGAGAGTATAAAAAGAGGGTGTAATTCAATATTGCAAGAAATTTTGATCTTTTGATGGATGCAAGTAGTTTGAATTTTATTATTTCTGCATATGATTTTGTTGAAAACAGTTCCTTTCTTTGGTTCCTTTGTCTGATTTTTATTTACCGTAACAACTCAGATATGTAAAGCACAAAGGATATGATGTAAAGTATATTTATACATGTATTATATAAAGGACCTATATTTCTATTAAAAATCTGTTGAAAAAATGATCGATATGCTATTAAACTTTAATAATTTAGTAATGAGGTCTGTTGGTAGACCCTGCACATCTCCACTGGTAGTTTTATGTTAGTTCAGCAATATTTAAATCTGGTTGAATAAAAAGTACACCAGTGCAGGTGTTGTAGCATCTACGAACAAATAAATTAATGGCCCATTGGCAATTATTCCTTCAGGAAAAATATTCAACACAGCTTAATTAATTAATAAAATTAAAAAAATCACAATCATGTGTATATAGTTTATTTCAAGTATAAAATAATTTTCATATAAATTCTAGTTCAAAAGTCAAATTACGATCTCTATACTGTGGAGAGTATTGAAACGCTCGACTGACGAATACAATTCTATACCGTGGCGAGGGTTTAGAAAACTGTATTCAAACGTGGCGTCATCCAATACACTTCTATATTTTTCCGTTTACTGTGTAATCATATCCTGTGTAGTACCTAATAATCGAGTTTCAGATTTATAAAGGTGGTTGGAATAACGAAGTACCACACGGATACGGGGAGTATTACTGGAATAGTTTCGTTAACAAAACTCTTGTGTATCCGATGACGCCATGGTTTAAGGGTACGTGGAACAAGGGGTGCAGACATGGTGCAGGGGTAATGAATTTTGGCAGTGAAAGCGGAGCCCGACTGGCCGGCATCTGGCTTCACAACCTGAAACATGGACCGGGCGTGATGATTTGCGGGAACGGACACGCAATTCAGAAGGCGCCTCTTTTTCTTCACGACAAAGCCGTGCTGACGGACCCAGACGAATCCGTTGAACCACCACTGAACCACCCGACTCCTGAAGAAGAGACGGAAATAAACAATATCACTTTGCAACAACAAAAGCAAACTTTTCATGATGTCAGCACGGCCAATTCTTATCCAGATATCATCAAGGAGATAAACAAAAAAGTACCTACCTATCTACACTATGCCCAGCGTTTCTGAACCTTTTCTAGCCTTCAAAAATAAGATTTCGTCCTTATTATAGGCATATGTTTCAAAAATGACCTCCTCGTTCGTCGTAGATCTTTTTGTGGCAAGCCACTTCTGTTCGAAATATTATTTTTTGAAGGCTAAAAAAAGTTCAGAAACTCTGGGCGAAGTGTACAATAGGGTGATTCAAAAAAATGTAATATTTGTTTTTACCTTCGACACTGAAAAATTGGTTCTTAGGCACCTTTAGAAAGTTCTCACCAAATCTGAGCTCTAAATATTAATAGGAAGATCCCTGCTTAAAATGTCACATAGAGACCCTGTTCAAACCGATAGATTTTTGTATCGGATTGTATGGTGTTTCTATAGGGTGTATCGGTATGTATAGGACCCATAGTTGGGATTTATGGTTGTTCTATAGGGATATCCTTCCTTGATTTATTTGCTATCGGTCTCAATAGAGAAAATACACATAAATGTAGAAATTAGTTTTTTTCCCATAGGACCCCATAGGTTTTAACAAAATTTTGTCAAATGTTTTATGGTTGCTCTATAGGGATATCCCTATATATCCTTCCTTGAGTTATTTGCTATCGGTCTCAATATGAGAAATGTAAAATTTATGGTGTGCCTATGGGTAATTTCCTATAAATTTTCTATCGGGCCGTATCCGGAAAAAAACATGGACGAATGCACATATTGAGTCCGTTAGCGCCCGATACATTATTTTTATGGGTCTTTATGGGGTATTTTAAGCGGGGATCCTCCTCATCACAGTTTTCCATTTTTTCTTTATAAAGAAGGGACTATAGTCCCTTATAAAGAAAACCATATTTCATTAATCATTTAATTATTTTATTAATCGTTTAATCAAATCTTTATACATATTTTTGTAGAAAATTAAATGCTCTACAACAAAGGACTGATGTGTTTAAGCGATTAACCATTTAAACGATTTTTAAATAAGGTTGAAGAATTGATTAAAAAAAATATTTTTTTTAATAATTCGCAACTCATTGAAAAATGTACATTGACATCACGCTTTTTATTTGTCATATGTCACGCTTATATTACATTATATTTTAGCACATTGTTTGCACAGTGTTAGTACATTGTTTAAAGACATTTTGCAAAGCTTCAGTCTATCTTACGCATGTCACATTTTATACACACTGTTAGCACGCTTTAATATTTCTCATTTATGACTCTTATATTACACCTTTTTATAGCACATTGTACAGTTTTACCGATCACTCAACAGTTTAAGCACATTTTAGATATATCTCGCTTGAGTTGGGGTACAACATTTATTTAAAAGGTGAGGTAGATTCCATCTTATGTATTGCTTCTCGGCATATTGCTAAGATTAAAGCAATCCCCTTCGTGGAGTTGACAGTGCAGGCATTTTTCTTAAAAAAATACAGTATGTACCCTGATAGCAAAATTTGATCTTAAGAATCTTCTAAGAAGATATGACCCGGAATAATGGAATATTCTTAGAAGCTTTCCTTATTGCTAAGAATGTTTTTAGGGACTTTTAAAACATTCAATAGATACCCTTTTAATAATGCAATTAGATTCTTAAAAGCTTCTTAAAACCTTCTTAAAAAGCATCCCAAGAACATTTTAAGAATACGTTTTTGGAATGTTCTTAGAAGGTTTCTTATGGAGCTTCTAGGAAGCTTTTGAGAATATTCCCACGTTCAGATATGTTGTATTCTACATTAGTAAAATTCTTCAGGAGGCGACAAATACGCCTCACTGTCATAATATGACAGTGAAATGTATTTGTCGCCCCCTTGCGACATATTAATATATTTATTTAAAAATATTAAATAAACAATTGACCTCTAAACCATAAGTTGTATGACATTATTTCATAAAAAGTAAAATTTAAAAATTTTGTGTGATAAGTCAGATTAGATTGAAGTTGAAGATAGTTAGGATTATTATACATAAAAATGTTAATTAAGAAATAAAAAATCGGTATACAAATTAATAAATATTTATTTTTAACATACAATAAAATACCTATGGTAAAAGTATTTTTGTTATCGAATATTGTTTTAATTTAACAAATAACTATAAAAAAATATTTTGGATTGTGTTTTTTACTTAGTATTTAATACTAATTACTAATTAGGTACTTAAGTATGGGTATAAGTATACCTTTATACGTAGTTTATGGTATATTTTACTATTATATAAGTAACTGGACTAAATATGCTTAACAGGAATATTCCTAAATGAACTTTCTATAGCAATTACTTTCTTAACATTCTAAGCATATATTTAGAGTAGACTAATTTTTACCACTAAAACTTTGCACCTTCTAAGAACCTGCCTATAGGTCAGTAAGAATATTCTTAGGATCATGCTATATTTCTTTTAAGCATGTTCTTTAAAAGAAATATAGCATGATCCTAAGAATATTCTTACTGGAAAGTTTAAAGAACATTCTTAGAACATGCCTAGAAGAAATATAGCATGATCCTAAGAATATCCCCACTGGAAGGTTTAAAAAACATTCTTAGAATAAAGTGTGCTATCAGGGTAGGACCTACATTGTGGGTTTTTTTTTTTTTTTTTTTTTAAATATTTATTTGATTAATATTATTATAAGGATATTTATATTTCAATTATGTGTAAATTTAAAACACTATATAGGTCACCAAAAAGAATCCGTTTTTGAAATAGGCACACAGGTGGCAAGAAAGAGTGTGCAAACAATGTGAAAAATCCCTTAGAACATTGTCCAGTGATTATTCACACTTTTAAATTTTTGGTTTTGCACATTGTTTCATGTTCCATTTCCCACCCTCCGCACATCATTTTTTTAAAGATTGCACACTTTTTGCACATTTCATTTTCGCCAGGGTATCTTCTTAGAAGATTCTTAAAATCAAATTTTGCTATCAGGGTATACGTAGAGCATTCAATTTACTACAAAAATATGCATACAGATTTGAGTAAGAATTGATTAATAATAAAATATGGTCTTTTTTTATAAGGGACTATATAAAAAAACGGAACACTGTGATGAGGAGGATTTTTCAGTGTTGGAAGTAAAAAAATATATATTCGATTTATTTGAATCGCCCTAGTGTACAATATTGTACCTAAATATTAGATACGAATGGAAAACAATAATCAATTTGGTGATCACTTTCTAGAGGTGCCTACGAACCAATTTTTCAGTGTTGGAAGTAAAAAAATATATATTCGATTTTTTTGATTCACCCTAGTGTACAATATTGATATTTTTACCTAAATATTAGATACCAATGGAAAACATTAATCCAGAGATAGTCGAAAGCATAAAGGCGAAGCAGTCGAAAAGAAAAATTCCTGATATAAACCATGTTTTTAATTGCAATCAGATAGAAACGCCAATACATGCCAGTCCTGAACATGTCGATTTAAATCATTTCATAGACAGCGTCTTGCAATTTTCCCTTGAAAAAGTTTATAGTAGCGGTAGATTAAGGTAACAAACTCCCATTCCCATGTTACGCAGTTTTACATTTATTGTTAGTTTTAACAGTTTTGAACCGCTTCAAATGGACAACGTAAAAAACAGAACTTATTCAGTGTTAAGAATCATCGAGCAAACCCAAATTAAAAATACAATCACCCTTCATCTGGTCAAGTTAAAGGATTTATATGAGAGATATGCGTGTGTCGCCACAGAGGAGGAAGTCGATTTTCCAAAAGTCATGATTAGGCTTTTTTTGTGGCAGCTTTATCGAGACATTGAACTTACAACGAACGGTTTGAGCCTTTTTGAAGTGGACTTTGGACTCGCTGATAATCCCCAGAGTTGCGTCGAAGCGGTCCACGATCCGTTCGAGCCCATTTATTTTTGGCAATTTATTCAAAGTTTAGTTGGCACATCTGTTTTACTCCACAAAAAAGGCTTACTACAAATTGAACCCAAAGGAGCTCTGCTCTCCAGCATATTTAAGCACTTTATAACTAAACAACTTTTGAACAAAATGAACGGCACAAGAGGTACCTATAAAATAATTATAATTTAGGTGTTAATAAAAGTGATATCGTTTTTTATGTAAGATAAACATTCCTTATGTTATATACCATCCAAAATATTGAGGGGAGATTCTACAGTCAAAAATGCTTTCCCTAGTAGCAATTCCGGAAAAGTCTTGGCCCAGCATGGGTCAAGATACTTTGGACAGATTTTTGCTCAAGAATTGTTCCAGATTCTTGGCCAAGATTATTGGGCAAAACTTGAGCCAGACTGTGGCCAGAATTTGACCAGAAATCTGAGGCCATCTATTGCTTAACTTTGGGACTATCCTATAGAGTAGAGGTTCTCATTCTACAGTAGTATCATTCACAATAATGTATACTAGTCGAGAAGTGAGTTCTCTGTAGGAAATGAGTATAGTTTTTTTGTTTATGTGAAAATACGAATAAGAGCTTATTGGATTCGTCTTCTAGCTGAGAAAAAAATTGATTTTTTGAAAAATAAAAATTGTTATTTCCAAAAATCAAAAATTAAAAAAAAAAGTGTGTGTCAGCTCTGACGCATAACTAGAGTTTACTCTTTATGAACATGAAAGATTATAAAATACATGTTTATTTTTACGGGCACCTGTTTTTTTTAACATAGAAAATTAAAAACTTTAACTCTTTCAAAATTTGTTTCGTTTTAATTCGTTTTAAATTCTATTGTTTACCAGATTTATGGATAAAAACCGAATTTACTGGAAAGAAATCGTGGAAAATTAATGTTTTTAGTAACATTCTTAACTTTTGAAGTTCAACAAAATTTTGTATTGACCAATAATCTTGAATTGAAAGTTCCTATTTAACGTGTAATCGTGTAAAAACTCTTGGCCAAGAATCTGGTGAAATTCTGGTCACAGACTTGTCCAAGTCTGCCACCAGTCTGGATAAAGAATTTTGATCAAGAGTCTTGGTCAAGAATTGTCCAATTCTTTACAAAGTGCTTCTCCAAGTATCTTGACAAAGAATCTTGTCCAATTCCATTGCTACTAGGGTTATAAGAAAGCTACGCGCATTTGAAGATCTCTTTATTGCAGAGAGAAATAATGAAGAAAAATCATTTTTCTGTGTTATCTCAATGGGAAATATGTACTCTTAAAATTGAAATTAAGAGTTGTTATTTCTGTTAAATTTTTATTTTATTACATTAAAAACGATATTGATTTTTTTAAACACCCTACCCGACATTTATTTCTAATTTAATAGGAATGGCGCTAAAAGAATACAAAGATTTGTTACCTTTAAAGAAAATGTATGGTTTTTATTTAAACCTTGGCCAGAATCTTACAGCTAGAAGTTTTTTGAATAACATTTGTGTTAAAAAAGGTACCCAGCCTCCATGTTATTTAAATATTCTTAAAAATTCTACCGCTACCGAAAAGGGGACCCACGAAAACTGTAAAAATGTTCTAGTTTTTGACCAACAAGTCGAGTTTATTGGTGGTGAGTAATTTTATTTAATCCAACTATCACAATAATTAAATATGTATTTTCTTAAGGCGAGCTTAGTTTGGGAGAACGTCCCGAAATAAAAGAATCAATCATTCCCGAGGATGCGTTTCGAAATACGTTGTTTGGCTTGAGATCTCTGGGACCACGAAGAGTTCTCAGTTGTCTATGTAAAATTTGCCCGGATATCAAAAAAGGGGAGTTTTTCGTAAATATGGACTATCCGATAAACTTTCTGGAATTTTACGAAACGGTCTTGCTGTGTGCATCGACTCTCGTGCGCATTCAAATGAAAAAAATTGAAAGGAGAGAGCTTATCGAGAAAATTATGAAAGAAAGAGAGGAAAATCCCAAGCCGAAAGTTGAGGTCAGCAAAAAATCGACAAAAAAGAAAAAATGATGTTGTATATGTTTATTTATTTATAATCAATTATTTGTAATAAAATTTGATATAAAATACATAAGGTAGGTATAACAATGAAATTTAATGTCATCCGGTATGAATGGAATGATTAATATAATTATCTTGATATGGGTTCAGTCTCCTTCCATAGCCACTGTTTTGCTTCCATGTAGCCTGGTTTCTCCAAAAGGGGTCCAATCTTTTGCCTGCATTCCACGTGATAGTCGTTGAGCTGCTTGATCTCTCTGTCCGTAAGCATGGCAACATCTATCATTTTGGTTTGTTTCGGCACCAAGGTGATGGTGTGGAAGGTAAGGAATCCGCGCTGATTGAAGTTGTAAGTGGTGTTGGCGGGGACGATTTGCACGATGTCCTCGATGCGGGCGCCGAATAGTCCGTCCTCGTAATAACCGGGTTCGTTCGATACGAACATGCCGGCATCCAAACCGGGATCGTCCGGAATCGGTTTCCACGAAATTCCCATCGGACCTTCGTGCACGTTCAAATAGGAGCCGATGCCGTGGCCGGTGCCGTGCCCGTAATCTAAACCGACCTCCCACAAGAATTGGCGCGCCAAACTGTCCAAACAGTTGCCTTAAAATAAATAAATACTTTATTTTCAACAGGATTTACCTGATTCGGTACAGGAAATATTAGAAAAAAAGATTTAATAATAAAGGACATTGGTACAAATTTAAAAATGCTATAAGTGTGATTCAATCGGTTCTGGTTTGTTATTTCAAAAGTTAATATCCCACTGAAAATAAAATACTTGATGTCTAGTTTAATTAACTATTTTTACTTGATTCCTTACTTATTTTAGTCTAAACGAGCATAGTAAAAAATATATTTTAATTTTTGTGTCGCAAACGTCATTACCGAAGAATATGTTGATATTATTTTCTTACATTTATTTACAAATTAAATCTCGCAATATCCTGTTAACTTTTCTTTTAATGCCGTTTAAACTTTGTTCACACCCATGAGCGTCATTGCCGTGGCTACTTAAAAGGTGTCTAATTTCATATTTAAATACGCGATACATTCGGAAAATGCCGGAAGTTTTCGAACGTCTGATATGGAAATATCCTGCCTGTCTAACGTCCACTAGCATATGTCAAACCATAAAGTTGTGACGTGCGCCGAATGAAAACGAAAACGGCTTGTTACGTCCAAGTCCGTCATTGTCGGGGTAAGTATTATTTCAAAGTTTATGGACATACAAATGACTTACATTAATACAAAGGAGTCTTGCATTAACAAAAAGCAAATGGTACCTTGAAAATTCCATTACATTTTCGAATAAACATTGTAAAACCATTGAGTAAAGAACATCTTACTCAATGGTAAAACACTAACCTTAAAATCATCATTACCGTGCTCGTCATTGTCGTGTCACTTACATGTAACCAATTTAAAATATTTCATTTCAGTGGGAAATGACAATACCACGAAACAAGTTGACCAACAAAGCTAAAAGACAAGCAGAACGTGAGAGACGCAGAAGAATAACAGATGACCAAGTAAAACCTTGGGTTCAACTTTCTAAAAAAGACAAAAAAAATTACGTTTTTAGTCAATATTCATGAGTGTAAAACTCCTAAAAGTGCAAAATTAATAATATTTGCAATTTTTTTATGTGTTAACGAAAATGGTTCCGAAAATCGACAGTTTTAAAATATTCACCCATAAAACTTATCAATTTTAATTGAAATACATTTTTTTACAAACAAGTCAGGGGTAGGTCTAGAATAGTCACAAATATTGCTAATACTAGTAGTGGGTTTCCCTGATATCTCAGATAATTTTGAGTTAATGTGATCTGAGATGTAATGATGTCAGTAGCATAAAAAAATAACAACAACTCAATTGAAACGCGCTATATGGCTGCGCATGCATGAATAAGAGGCAACATCCTAGGGGCATCATAACCTATTTCTGTTAACTTTATTGTTTTAAATTTCGGGGTTTTCTATGTTCTATGTTATCTATGATTAAATCTGCATTCAAGTATAAATAATAGAGTATTAACAATTATAGTTTTATTTGATGAGGACGATGAAGAACTAATTGTTGCGTGGCGCAATATTGTCTCCACAAATTATCCTAAAGAATGCATTAAAAAAATATAATATTAATTTTAGTTTTCTTACCTTCCTGCACCCTTTTCATCTTTAGTAGAGAAATTAAGTGTACATAATTCATAAGACCTATTTTTTCCATAATTAGGTTTCAAACAAAACATAAAACCAGTCCCTAATATTTTTTAAAACTCCCAACAAAACTGTCAGCGGTAAAATAAATTAGGTTGTGTTCTTTAAAAGCTAATAAAATCAATAATTTCGTCGTCCCCTCCACTTTATTTCTGACTAAATTAATTCTGTTTCTATGATAAAAATTAATTAATTAATCTATAATTAAAAGTGATTCCTTAGTGAGGGGGGAGCAAAAATCTCAGCTCACTTTTAAGTGAGTAAAGCAAAAAGAACGCGCAGATTTGCAAATTTTACCGATGTGAGCTGAAACTATTATTATAAATTCAGGTGTCAACCTCACTTTCTCCCCATTTTAAAGATCATTAGGTATATCAAAAAATCTGACATCTGTCACTGACAGACCGTCCGACAGTTCCAACCTCACTTTCTCACAAATCGGCCAATCAATGATGCCTAACAACGGAAATACTAAGAAACCCCAATTATGACAATACAGGGTGTCATCAAATAAGTTGTCATCCCTTGAGAGTTGGCAAGTTTTTCTTTTATTACTTTTGTATTTGTGCTGAGAATTGGCGCACACCCTGGGAAATATTTCCCAAATATTTAGTAATTTATTTTCAGGCCGCGACGTTTAATTTTCAGGAATTATTCTTATGTGTGATATTTTCAATTAGATAAAAAATATATATAAGAATTTTATTTTGCAAATTAAAAATGTCATAGAAGATATTTTAAAATTAAATTTAATTTTGATATTTTTAATTTAGTGAATTTAAAATATTTATTTCTTTTATTTGTATTTTTAAGTTAATACAAAAAATTATTTTGTCAAGTTATCCATGAAAATACATTGAAATAAAATTGAACTTATAGTAATAGTACCATCACAGTACCATGTTACTATTAGTTTAATTTTATTTCAATGTTTTTTCATGTATAACTTGACAAAATAAATTTTTGTAGTTATTATTGTGCATTTTTTTCTTAAAATTTTTCAATACAATTTAGTTTATGGTCGTTTTGAGGGGTGGTTAATCCAGTGCCGTGATTAGAATTTGTTTAAAAAAATCGCTAATATGAATTCTTAAAAATTTACTGTTAAAAACTGACATAGTAGGCCTTGTATTTTGTAAAAATATGGCGTTTTTTGCTTCAAAAATACAGTTTATCAAGATCTACACTTTAAAAGAAATCCAGTTAAAATCGCACAATAAATAAAGATTTTACAGGGGTGAGTCGCAAACACACTGTATATTAAAAATATCAAATTAGATATAATTTTTAAAATATATGTATAACAAAAAAATATCAGAAGAACATGTTTAATCTGCGAATTAAAAATATCATAGCAGATATTTAAAAATTAGATTAAATTTTTATTCCAAATTGATATTTTTAATTTAGTGAATTTAAAATATCTGTTTCCTATATTTGTATTTTTAATTTGCGTGATTAAAAATTAGATTTAATTTTTATGCCAATCTGATATTTTTAATTAAATTAAATTTTAATCTAATTTTAAAATATCTGCTATGATAATATTAATTCGTAGAATAAAAATTCTTACGTGACATTTTTTATTAAAATGAAAATATCACTTAAGGGTAAACACATAAAATTAATTCCTGAATAAAAAATAAAACTGCGCCCCATAGAATTAAGGTCATTAGTAAACTATTTAATTTATTTTGCAATAAAATACCTTTTATCTTGGAGGGAAAGACGGCCCTTCCCAATTGCAGCTGTCCCTTTAGCACCAGCGTGTACGTCTTCTTCTCCAGATCGCTGGGGGTGCCGAAGTGCATGGTCCTGGTCACGTCGGTGGTCCCGTCTTTGTACTGACCGCCGGAATCGCACAGATAGACGGTCTGATTGGTGATGGGCACGTCGGTGCTCTCCGAAGGCGAGTAATGAATGATGGCCCCGTGCGGTCCCACCGACGAAATCGTATCGAACGAGAGACCGACGTAGTCCTCCTGCTCGCTTCGCAACTGCTCCAGCTTATTCGCTCCCGATATCTCGGTGATTTTCGCGCCCGACGCGACCTCCTTCTCCAGCCAGGAAAAGTAGCAGCAGAGGGCCACCGCGTCCTTGATGTGCGCCCTCTTCATGCCCTCTATCTCCACGCTGTTTTTGATCGCTTTCATCAGCTGAACGGGCGTCATTTCGGTCAGAAGGGACTTTTTCGGGATGGTGCTGGTCAAATCGTAGCCGGCCGCGTCCGAGAACCAAACGAAACCGCCGTCCACGTTCTTGCTGATCTCTTTCAAGTAGCACCCGATGCTCTCGTAACTCTCGACTTGGAACTTTATGTCGCCGGATTCGGCCTTTAAATGCTGCCCGATCTCTTCGTTGTACTGCTTTGGGTTTATAAAAATGACGTAGGAATTTTCGGCCAGAACCACGTACGAAAAGAACACCGGGTTGTATTTAATGTCGCCGCCTCTTAAATTTAAAAACCAAGCAATCTCGTCCAACTTGGTGAGCACCAAGTATTTGGCGTGTTTCTCCTTCATCGCTGACTGAATGTCTCGGAACTTGTTTTTCAGCGGCATGCCGGTGTAGTGCAGGCCGAGAGGATGCACGGGGTTGGTAGGCCTGTTAGGTCTGTCCACCCAAACCGCCTCCACCAAATTACCCTCGATCGGGATCAACTTTTGCCCCGCGCCCTCCAACACTTTCTGCAATGAGACGAATTTATCGTGAGAATAGACTTTCGGATCGACGCCCACTCTCGAACCCATCGGCAGGTTTTTCGTCAGCCACGTACCTACAATCACAAATGACATTGTAAAATTATTTATTTTTATTATATAAATATTTTGTGGAAAAAATATCTTCTTTTATAATAGTTTTTAATAATGTTGAAAGTTGAAATTTTTCTATTATTTATCAATAACCCTATAAAGAGGGACAAACGGAAAATTTACAAACTTAATTTTCAATTTGTCCCCTGAACCAAATCCCAAAAGCATGGACGTCAATTTTGGGATACCATGTATTTATTATTGAAAGTTAGTAAGTTAACTTAAATACTTAAAAAGCTTATTTTTTTAATAATTTTTCTCAAATAGAGTTACCTGGGTACGATTTTACCCCTCTATAATAATTAAGCTTAAACCAAAAATAACGCAATGTAAATAAAAAATAATGTTTGTTAATAGGGTGAATATCCAAAACGGGGATAAATTGGGGTGGTAAAAAAATAAAAAGCAAAGATTAATAAAACACTAGCAAAATAATACCTCAATGTGTATTTCTTAATAACATAAAGTAATTTCAAGGCGGCTATAAATTAAACTTATTTAACAAAAAATAAATTTAATTTTTTATAATTTAACTATATTATATTAATTATCGTTAATAATGCCTTAAATTATATGAGCTAAGAGTTTAGGGCAATAATATGAAAGTAAACAACTCAATGGACATACCTTTTAACTCCATGGAGTTGATGTCCATGGAGTTGATGTTTTTATATTTAAAGTCACAAACTTTAGAAAATGGTACATAATGTATCTTTAGTTAACTGCAATTTAAGCAAAAGCATATTTGGTTATTTCACCTGAAGAAAGTTTAAATTTCAATTGTATTTAAATCCCTTTGATATTAAAGACGTGGAGTTGATCTTTAATAAAAATACGTTTTTTTTGCAAATAATTGTTCTTAATACATTTTTATTAAATATTACACCCCCTTTGCCTTGCTTACACAAATCAACACTAAACCACTCAAACGACGAAGTGTTCAAACATTACTAAAATACTTTTTATACAGGGGATTTATCATATATTAAAAGACTGCAAAGAACTCAGCTGTAAAATGGTGTATCATGCTTTATTCGACATTTTGGGTTAAAATATCAATAAGTTTGCTTTTGGTTGTGTTTTTTTATACATTCCAAGTTAGAGGAAATGCAATATGAAAGAACCATTTCACAATTGCATCTAGTCTAATATAGTCCGGGAGGCAGTGAAGATTTTTATCTTCTTATTTTCCCAGTTTGTGAATGTCATTAAGTTTGTTCAAACGGTGACAAAAAACGACAATTTGTGTGTCTGGCTAAAATTTTCGGATGGGTTCACTAGATGAGCCAAAAAGTCAAGTCCACTTATTTTCCCAGTCATAAATATTTCACATTAATTAAAGTGAGTCATTTTATTAATGGAAATAACAGTCTGGCACATCCCAAGTGAAGGAAAGTCAGTCTGGCTGAAAATTTGCGGAAGCAAAAATTTGACCGGTTTTTGAAATACGTAGCCCTTATTTTCCCATGCTTAAAATTTAACCCATTATTTGGTACTGTCATAAACTATAATCAAAATTAAGTCTGGCTGATTTATGAAATTGGCAAATTGTTCTTGCGGCATCTTGAAAATCGTAAGAATTACAAAAATATTGCTCTTATTTTCCCGGATTTGAAAATTTGTCACATGATAAATAATACTATAATTTCGTAGAAAATACACGTCTGGCTGTTATTTACAATCACGAAAGCCCCGCCAGACTCACAAGTCAGATAGCAGAAACTCGCGTATGAATGGGAATTTTCGCGATTTTCTTTTTTTTATTGATATAACTCAAAAACTAAGGGAGATACAAAAAAAATGTCAAGAGATCGATTTTGTAGAGAATTCTACAAAAAACAACTGCACAAATTTTCTCGTATTTCTGATAGTTACAAAGTTATTCGCGAATAAAGTTTATTGGTGGCGGACGGACTGACATTTTTTTTAGCCATATTTAAATTTTGCTTTACACAATTTATTTTCTTATCATACATTATGAAAAGTAAAAACATGTAGAGATGACAACAATCGCCTGTATAATTGAACATGCCGAATTTAGCGCGCGAATTTTTAGGACTGCGAAAATAAGGGCAATGGTTTTGATTATTTTTCCACCTACCAGACATATTATAATATGTCTGGTAGGTGGAAAAATAATCAAAACCATTGCCCTTATTTTCGCAGTCCTAAAAATACTCACAGATTAGCCAGACTATTTTTTTTCTTAAGTTCACTATATCTCTCACTAATGGAATTATTTTTATCACTGGAAAAAAAAGTGCAATATATTTGTACTTTATAAATAACGCATTTTCCGCCTTAACCCATCGGAAACCCCCCCCTAAATATATATAAATTTTGCTCAGAATAACAAACCCAAAAATTGTATCAGTGTTTGCCGACTGGGAAAATAAACTTTAAAGCGTTTAAGCAAATTCAAATTAATAAAATAAATAATGTTTTATTTTTTGGGTTAAGTACTATGCTCCACACTTCAAAGTCCCACCACGTGACCACGTACGGAACGCAGTCTTTTGATAATTTGTCATTTAAGGCTTTTCAGGTTATGTATCTGTCAAAGTATAGTCAATGCAAGAAATAATATTTATACTGTTACCATTTATGTTTAAGCGTTAAAAGTTTATATTTCTTTATAGTATCACAGTAACAATGGTTGGTTTAATGAAATTCTAAAGTGTATAGTGCCAAATAAGTAAAATTTTTGTGCATTTGGTCTATCCATTAAATAGTTTTAACTAAACGGCATTTATTAAAAAAATTTAGCTTGTCTATTATGGAATAAGAATATCTGTATCAAAGGTAGGTTAATATATTATAACAAAAAATATCATCTAATTTTGAAATTTTAAGGTTAGAAAAATCTATTTTGATCAAAATAAATAAGTATTTTGGATTATTTGGAAGAGTGTGTTAATATGGTCATATAAATATAGATATACTAAATAATTGTTGAATATGGTTCAAATTAAATTAAAGCTTTTATACTCCTAACAACAAAACTTGTGCATACCTCTTGGGATCCCTAGATTATAAGGAAACAAACAATTTTTAGAGATACATGCAATGTAAAAATATTTAATACTCCCATAACATGTGATTTTTTAAATTTTTAAAAGTTATAATGATTTTTCGATGAAGATAAAATTCAGTTGAAGCTTTATACGTAATTGTATTGACAAAACTTTATGTAGGTATACTTTAAGCTGGATAAGAAAGACTACCTACTACAAGTAAAAATATTAGATAGAGTATACTGTGGTTTTATTTAAATTTTAGAATTTATAAGGTTATTTATACCTAATGATTGTTCGATGTAGATAAAATTTTGTCGAAGCTTTTATAGGTACTTGTATTGACACTATGGGTATATTAGCTGACAGTGTAAGGAACTATGTTATGGGAGTATTAAATATTTTTACATCGCATGTATCTCTAAAAATTGTTTGTTTCCTTATAATCTAACTTAAAGTAGGGATCCCGAGAGGTATGCACAAGTTTTGTTGTTAGGAGTATAAAAGCTTTAATTTAATTTGAACCATATTCAACAATTATTTAGTATATCTATATTTATATGACCATATTAACACACTCTTCCAAATAATCCAAAATACTTATTTATTTTGATCAAAATAGATTTTTCTAACCTTAAAATTTTAAAATTAGATGATATTTTTTGTTATAATATATTAACCTACCTTTGATACAGATATTCTTATTCCATAATAGAGAAGCTAGATTTTTTTAATAAATGCCGTTTAGTTAAAACTATTTTATGGATAAAACCAGATATAATATTTTAACATATTATGTAGACCAAATGCACAAAAATTTTACTTATTTGGCACTATACAGTTTAGAATTTCATTAAATGCAGTATTTATACTCCTAAACTCTTAAACCAACCATTGTTACTGTGATACTATAAAGATTTATGAACTTTTAACGCTTAAACATAAACGGTAACAGTATAAATATTATTTCTTTCGTTGACTATACTTTGACAGATACATAACCTGAAAAGCCTTAAATGCCAAATTTTCAAAAGACTGCGTTCTGTACCTGGTCACGTGGTGGGACTTTGAAGTGTGGAGCATAGTACGTTCTACTGATAGACATAAACTGTCTATTGTAGTGTTATTTAAATGCTAACTACTCTCATTAGTATATTTTATTTAAGAGCTTCAGCATATTTGCTCCGTTCTGGAGAATCACCCAATAATAAATTATAGGCCTAAAAAAAGGTTTAGGAATATAGGATAATAGTTATTTACGTGTCAAGCTTTGTAAATGAATCTTTACGGGCAAGCTGGAAGTTTGTGGGCCTAGTAAAGATTAATTGCAAAGTGTGATACGTACAAACTTTTATTTTCACCTTTAGATAACGATTTTCAAATGGGTCATTTCATTTCAAAAATTAAGAAAATGAAAACTTTTGTGGGTAAAGGCATAAGGGGATAAGTCAAAAAAAATAATTTTTTAGTAGTGCCTTAAACGTGTTCGCATTAATTTAGCATGCTAAAAATACAATACTGCACTTAATAAGTTTTTCTAGACCACATATATAATTGTTCTATGATCGCGAAGGTAGTTAACTACTTTTAGACAAAAATGGAGTTAATGACTTTTGCCAGAACGGTGACGAAATATTCGCTAATTTTTAAGTTTTTTAACTAAATTTCTTTAAACTTGTTTAGTCCACTTTTATTTATAAAATCGCCTTTGATTTTAACTTTTGGAAAATTTAAATAGTTTTTTGTTGTTTAAAATCAATATAATTCATTGATTTTAAATTGAGATGAAACTTGTTCGTTTTTGTAAGGGGTCGTAGGTCAAAATTTTGTTTAGATTTTTGTAATTTTTAGTTTAATATCTATAATTTTTGTGTTAAATATTTTCAACAAAAATATCAACCGAAAAGGTTGGATTTTATTTTCAAAACGTCGAAAATAACACAATTTTT